AACACAGTTTGGGGTTCACATGCCACAGGGACAGTGCAGGGAAGCAATTGGTGGAGGAGCACCACAGACCTATGCATCTCAGTAGCACTGCTGCGTGGGGAAAGGGGTGTCTCTTGTTTTGTGCTGCCCCTAGGCAGACTGCCAGCCCCCTTCCCTGTGCTCAGGCTCCCAGTGGTCCACGAGCACAAGAAGGGTGACAAGAGAGCTCTCTGCCAGCGCCTGCTATATCCCCATGGAGGACAAATTCCTAGGAGCTGGGCACAGCTGCTGACATGCATGTGTAGCACAGATGAGTTTGGTGGGGAGGTTGTATGCTTCCTACATGAGAAGATGCTGAGACCCAAAGCCCAAGACAAACACTGGGCAGACAGTGGTGCTAGCAGCCCTCTTGCCCAGTGGTCTGGTGACCTTACCTCCCTGCTTCAGAGCGTCCCTCAAAGCTGGGAGATATCCCAGTTCCAAAAGCCAGCCTGGTTCTCTGGAGATGCTGTTATACGAAATCGCTTGGCCAATAGCACTTCTCACCCTGCGAACTCGTGTGTGCAGGGACATGCCCTGCTAGCTGCACAGATTAACCCAGGACAGGCTCAGTTCTGCTTTGTCTCCTTGGCAAGCAGAAGCAGCGTGAGGCCCTAGGAGAGAGGGGAAGGATGCTGAACTTAATGCAGGTGAGGGACCAGCCCTGTGCCCTTCCTTGAGCCAACAGGAGCAAAGAGGTGTTTAGTTTCAAGGCACAATCCCGTTACGAACTCCTTATTCTCTTTTGGTGTTGAGACCAAGGCCAGATGGAGACAGATCTTTTTGTACCTCCCAAGGTTTTGGAACATTTACAATAGGGACTGATATCACTGGAGACCATCCCCTGTGCTGGTTCCCTTCAACCTCATGCCAGAGCTCCTGAGACAAGAGATAACAGCTCCAAGGACCATGAACAGTAGCCAGTGATGGGGAAAAAGGTGTAGGGCTGCATGATGTTCCCCTTCCATCCCATTTCACACGATACGCAAGCTGCACAGAGAGCCAGCTCTTGTCCTGGCATCTCCTTCAGGAGGATGCTTTTCTGATCCTTCTTATGAAGCCAGGAGATTAATGATTAATGGGTGCTTTTCCTCATAGATAGAGTACCTGGGTATGATCTGCATTGCCACTGGCTGCCAAAAAGAGTAGATGTGTTAGCACTGTCAGGATGATCCTGATTTTCTTGTGGCTGAGGTTTTTTTACAGTTTAGCTTTCACAAAGAACAGGCACTAACACATGCTAAAGAAGCAAAGTTGCTTCTTGTGGGGGAAACACAGCAGAGGGGTGAACTAACAGCACAATAATGGGATGGGACAGGATGGGAAGGGACATGTGGCAGGGGTGGAGCTGCTTTTCAGGCAAAGGGGAGATGCCAGGAACAACCCAGACTTTCCAGCACATGCAGGTAGACACAGCGTGCAGTGCATCCCAGAAGTGGCAATGCTGCTCTGCCACTGCTGCTCAGAGCTGATTCCCCACTGTGGGTGCTGCCATGTCTCCCATGCTCTTTGGAGCCTGCAGTGCAAGGCTCATAGGGTAAATCACAGTGGTGATATTTTAATCTCTCTGTGTCAAGATGATCTGAGCTGACAAGGAACAGGAGGAGAGGCTGGAGTCCTCCTCCAACCCTTGGAGAAGGAAGGTAGAAAGAAACAGAGCAGCAATTAAATCATGGTACTTGTGGAGACCCCAAGCACTTCCTCCTGAAAGGCTCAACCCACCCAGCTCCCCCCATGTGAACCTCCCAGAGCTGCCATGACAGGAATGCTCCAGATGCCCCTGAAATACCCCAGTCCTTCTCCAGTGTATAGGCAGTAGAGCTCTTCTCACTGGGGCAGTGCTGGGAGCTGGAACTCACCAGTTTAAGGGCACCCTCCAAGCGCCTTTCCACTGAATTCTGAAAAGGAGCATCTCAGTTACTCAGGGCACAGGAGGAAGAGAGATCTTGGACACGGAGCAATTTTGAAAGGCATCAGGAAGACCGTTTGCTGCACTCTTCCTCCTCAGCTACAATTTAGGAGTGCATTTGGACTGTCAGCGCTTCCATTGCAGTCCTCAGGGCTCCCTCAGCAACACGACTAGAGCAAAGAGGACACGCAGCCCGCTGGGCTGCTTTAGGCAGAACGTTGCCATCAAGTGGAGGGAGGTGGTCCTGCTCCTCTGCTCGGCGCTACCGAGACATACCTGCATTGCTGAACCAGCGACGGACTCCCCAGTACAAGAGCAAGTATGACCATACTGGAAAGAGTCCAGCAAAGGGCTGATGATGCTGGGGGGACTGGAGCATCTCTGATAAGAGGAAAGGCTGAAAGAGCTCAGACTGTTCTCCCTGGAGAAGGCTCAGGTAGGGGAGCTTACCAATATACTGGTAAGTACTGATGGGGAGGAATGGAGAGGGGAGCCACACTGTGCTTAGTGATGCCCAGTGGCAGGATAAGCGGTGATAAACATATACCGAAATCCCATCCAAACCCAAGAAAATACTTGTGTATGCATGTGCATGCAGAGTGTGCGCTGTGTGTATGTGCTTCTGTAACGTGTGTATTGTGCATGTGTGCATGTTGTGTGTAGAAGTGTATTGTGTGTGTTTTGTGTTGTGACAGTGGTGTGTATTTATGTTGTGTGTTGTGTGCACAGTGCATGCTTTGTGTGCATGTGTGGTGGCTTTGTGTGTGTTCAGTGTTTGTGGGGTGGTGGTCCAGGGTACTTGGCTCCATGGGAGTGCCAAGGGGGCCTAAGAGCAGCCTCAGCCCCAGAGAGGCCCCAGATAGGGTCAGAGGCATGTGGGAGAGGGAAATGCGGGGCATATGAGGGTTTACGGGGTATGCACTGGGGAAGCTGAGGGTACCCAGGGGGTTATGAGACACAAGGGAGGTTGGAAGATCCTGCAGGAGCTATGGAGCATCCAAGAAAAGCAATGTGACACCCAAAAGGTGAGGATACCACAGGAGAGTTTGGTGCATATCCAGGGCAACAGGGAGACCCTGGGGGTGTAATGAGGCACCCATGGGAGCTGTGGAGCACCCAGAAAAGGGAAATCTATGGGGCACAGGAGAGGTTGGAGGCACCCTAAGGGGCTATGGGACACCCAGGAGGTTGGAAAAGCCCAGGTTTTTATGAGGCACATGGGTAGCCATGTCCACCTTGGACAGCGTTGGGAGCACACAGAGAGGGGTAGGATCTCAGGGTCCCCCAGAAGCTGATGCCAGAGCCCAGGCCTGTAGCATCTCTTTTATTGCAGGCCTTAACAGAGCCTCCAGTGGGAGGGAGGATCCACATTCCCCCCATGTCAAGCTTCACTGGGGAGGAGCATAGGTGCCAGCGAGGTGCACAGGCAGCCCAGCACGGCAGGAGACACGCACGTGGTGTTGAACCTGCAATGCCCGGTAGGAGCAAGGGGGCCGGTTGTTCCCCCCGCGCAGGCGGCAGGCTGTGAGGCCCACGGGCGTCGGGGTGCTGTGGAATCCCTCTGCATCAGGCGCCTGGGTGCAGGCAGCCACCAGCTCCTCAGCCGGAGCGTGCACGAAGGTGTTGGAGGGCTTGCAGGGCCGGCCGGCTGCCGTCACCTGCCGCCGCGCCAGCATGGTCTCGCAGTAGCGGTGTGCCGAGAGCGGAGATGTCCGGGGATGGTCCACGTGCTGCCGCAGGAACTTCTCATAGCGGGTCTCACCCACCGCTCCTGACAGCGCTGCCAGCACCAGCGCCATGCATAGAGCCCAGCCCACCATTGGCACCTGTGGGAAGTGGGGTCAGGGACATCCAGACTGCTGGAATCCCGACTGGAAACCCCATGCTGGATGCTCGATTCCTTTACAGGTTCCCCCTCCCGTACACCTCGTTTCCTTAAAAATCCCTTCAAAATACATGTGGACCCCCCTTGGACACCTGGGCTTATGTGTGGATTCCACCTGGATGCCTGGGTCCCCTACAGAACACCCAATGGACACCTGAGTCCCCTACAGCTCTCCACTCCCCAGAAGCTTGTGTCCCCCATGGGCCCGCCCTGAACCCCTATAGATCCAGGCCATACCCCAGCACCTGGATCCCCTACATATCCACCCTTCCCCGCTGGATGCTTGGGCTGCTCACAGTGCCCTCCCGCAGACACTCTGGTCCCCTGCACATCCCTCACGCGCACCTGTGTGTGTGCCTCAGTTTTCCTTATGGCCTTGGGGTCTCCGGGATCCCTCCCACTCCTCTGCACCTCTTTTATACTGGGCCCAATGGGCAAGGATCCAGGAGGAGGAGCAGGACAAAGAGCAAGGTCCAGCGGATCTGTGCGGGCAGCCAGGTGAGGCCCCCTCTGCCTGGTGCCCTCCCCCAAGGTCATTAGGCAGTCATTAACAAAGCACGTAACTGGCTGCGCAAGTCCCCTGGGATGCCCCCCGCCCATGCTGCTCTGGACCACTCATTTGGCCTTCCCACGTGTCCCATAGAGGGGCAGGACACCTTGGTCCCCTTGTGTGCCCGACGAGATACCCGGTTGCCTGGAGACACAGCACGTCAGCATCACCTCTGGGACAGCTGTCAGGTGCTCCTGCCCCTCTTGCACGATGTGGTATGTCTATGGCTGCCCTGCACTGCTTCAGGAGCTCTGTCCCTTCCCACTGTGGCCCTGAGAAGTGCCCCACCATTACCTCGCATGGTCCTGGCTGCCACACTGGGGCAGGAACTAGCAATGACACCCTTTCCCTCGACCCTCATGGAGAGCCTCATGGAGTCGCATAGAGAGCGTGTCTCCTCCGGAGGGAGAGGCACCACCCTCCCCCAAAGAGCTGGAAAAGCTCTAAGACCAGCCATGATGACGGCGGAGACTGCCCTGCCCTGTAGCGACATCTCTAGGGCTCTGCGGGCCTCCCGAGGCGCAGGAACAAGCTCACCTGCCCCTCGGCTACCGCGTCCCCGCCCCGCCCTCCCACCTGCCCCCTCTCCCCCTACCCCCCGCACCGTTGGTCCCGTCCAGCAGTGGTAGGTCCCGGCGAGGAGCCGCCTCGTTCTCGCGAGAGAGCAGCCGCACTCTCGCACAACCGCGCGCGATTTGCTGGTTCCGGTCTTTTCGTGGCCAGGGCGGGACCATGGCGGTGGGCAAGAACAAGCGGCTCACCAAGGGTGGCAAGAAAGGCGCCAAGAAGAAAGTGTAAGGGCGGCCGGGACGGGATGGCACGGCACGGGGCTCGGGGGCACCGGGCGGGACGCCGCGGCGGCGGGATGCCGCGGATGCGGGGCGGATGGCGGCGGCCGGGAGCAGGCCGCTGCTGGCATGGCGGCGACCGGGCGCGGGCCTCGGTGCATGGCAGTGGGAGGGGAGGTGCGGGCTGGGGACCGCTGTGGGAGCGCGGGTCCCGGCAGAGCTGGGTCTCCCGTGGTCCCGGCATGTGCCCGGTGCGGGGAGCGCTCCCGGCGAGTGGGAGGGCAGCGGCAGGGCTGTGCCCCGGCCCCGGCTGGGGTGCTGCGAGCTGGGTGCCCAGGCGTAGCGGGTGTAGCGTGGTTTGCTTGCTGTGGAAGCAGGGAGTCTTGGGTGGTGGCGATGGTACACGGTGCATTGTATGTGGTGATGTTGGCTGCAGAAGTCAAGGAATGAAATGGGGTATTCGTGGGGAAGTTAAAAAGCCTGTATCGCTTCTGAGCAGTAGCTGGAATTGTAGCACGGTATAGCTTGTCATTTCAGCTTCATGATGTTTCTGCAGTTGATTTCATTCTTTCTGAAGTAAATTGAACGCTGCCTCCGTGTAGTGGGTAATGCTGTCACTATTCACATACTTGCCATCCTGCCCACGTTAAACTTGAAAGCACAAAGTGTTGCCATTTTCGTTCCCATTTCACAAGGCATATGGGGAGGATGTTCTTACTTCAGCCCAGTTTTATCTAAGAAAAGTCAATAAAACAAATCTTGTCTGCTTTATTTAAATTAAGGGTTGATCCTTTCTCCAAAAAGGACTGGTATGATGTCAAAGCACCAGCAATGTTTAACATCCGAAACATCGGGAAGACGCTTGTCACCAGGACTCAAGGAACTAGTGAGTAGTGGGGCTTTATGCAGTAAAGGGAGAAGTGTTTATCCCGTGTGCTGGCTCCAAGTGAGACTCAGTTAAAGAACGTCAGACAAATAGTTTTTACTCGTATTGTTATAAACCTGGAAGTTTAAAAGTAAGATGAAAGGTGCTTCTAACTTAATTGTGTAATTTGAATGACTTTCATGAAGTTGGCAGAGTGTTTAAACAAATAAGCTTGGTTGCAGGGAAATTAGTACAGTGGGCTCCTTGCTTGTCAGGGAGTACCAGAATGTGGCTAGGGTACAGAAAGACACACCTGAAGTTTCTAATGAAGTGGTGCTGGGGTAATCTGATGAGTTTGAGGGATGCGAAGAACTAAGGAGTTATTCTGGTTATCAGAGGCAGATGTGGAGACTGGTACAGAAGGGTACTATGTGCAGTTCTGGTATCCTCAACATAAGAAGGACATGGAGCTGTTGGAACAAGTCCAGAGGAGAATGATCACGGGACTGGAGCACCTCCCGTGTGAAGACAGGCTGAGAAAGTTGGGGCTGTTCAGCCTGGAGAAGAGAAGGCTGCGTGGAGACCTCATAGCAGCCTTTCAGTATCTGAAGGGGCCCTACAAGGATGTTGGAGAGGAACTCTTCACGAGGGACTCTAGTGATAGGACAAGGGGTAACAGGTTAAAACTTAAACAGGGGAAGTTTAGATTGGATATAAGGTAGAAGTTCTTTCCTGTCAGGGTGGTGAGGCACTGGAATGGGTTGTCCAGGGAAGTTGCAAATGCTCCATCCCTGGTGATTTTCAAGGCCAGGTTGGACAGTGTCTTGGGCGATAAGGATGTGTGAAGTGTCTGCTCATGGCAGGAGGACTGGAGCTAGATGTTCTTAAGGTCCTTTCCAACCCTAACTATTCTGTGATTCTATAAAGACCATCATGTTTGAAGAGACTGAAATGTGAAACTTACAGGTAAAGTGATCTCTAGAGCTGGAATTGCTAACTAATAGGAGCACAGGTACATGTGTCACTGAATGGTGAAGGCTTTTTGTATGGTCTGGCATACCTCAGGAAAGGGGAGCATCTGTTAGAAATGCAGTGTGATCCACGTAAGAGGCATCAGTATTTTTGGAAGGTCAGCTGTGTAGAATGGTTAAATAGTTGCATTATACTATTCTAGTTTCACTTAAAGTTACAAAGATGAGCATTATTTTCAACTGTATACATGTGAAGTAAAAAAGGGTCATTGTAAACCAAGCATGAGTCGGCCAGTGTTAAAGTGGTTAGTTGTCAGAGCTGTACTCAGGATGGTTGTTGCTGATTTAGCTCTGCTGAGCACATGCTTCTCTTTCTGTTATGGTTCATGATTTCCAAATACTTTGTAATCACTTCCATTTAAAAGAAACACCAACCTCAAAGCTATTACATATCCTGGGATCTGCTGTGTACTGGTATTTGTGGTCAGCGCCTGATACAATTACCCTAAAAAGATTCCTCACCAAATTAACAAAATACAATATTTGGTTTTAGGAGTTGAATTGATCTTGGTCAAGATGCATGTAAGCTTCAGAGCTGTGAAGCTAGTGGCAACCCTTACTGTTAGACACCATAAAATGGAAATTCAGTATTTGATTTGAATAATGCGTTTCTAATGTTAATAAAAGGTTTTATTTGTTTCATAACACAGAAATTGCTTCTGATGGGCTGAAGGGTCGTGTATTTGAAGTGAGCCTGGCTGATCTGCAAAATGATGAGGTTGCCTTCCGTAAATTTAAGCTGGTAACTGAGGATGTTCAGGGCAAAAATTGTCTGACCAACTTCCATGGAATGGACCTCACCAGGGATAAAATGTGCTCCATGGTCAAAAAGTGGCAGGTGTGTAAAGCGCGAGGTCTGCGTTGCTGTCAGTGCCTCAGGGAAAGGAGGCAGCCACCGGTGCATGTACAGCTGCATTTGCAGTGGCAGCAGCAGATGTTAGTGAATGTCATGTTGAGAAACCTGTCTGTCATGTTGATGGTAAATGGCTGTTTCTCTTTTAGACGATGATTGAAGCCCATGTAGATGTCAAAACGACCGATGGTTACCTGCTGCGCCTCTTCTGCGTGGGCTTCACAAAGAAGCGCAATAACCAAATCCGCAAGACCTCGTATGCCCAGCATCAGCAGGTGCGGCAGATCCGCAAGAAGATGATGGAAATCATGACCCGAGAGGTGCAAACCAATGACCTGAAAGAAGTTGTCAATAAGCTGTAAGTTCTGCCTCTGTTTTGTTGTTTCTTTCTCCCTTATAGTTTACATGGTTGCTTGTTGGCCAGTTTTCCTGGGGTACTTGGGGATTGCAGGTGCTTCACATAGTGTTTAGCAGAGATCAGGCAAACTGCCTCATGTTGATAACCCAGCACACTTTTCTTTTCAAAATACTGAATCTCTACATAGTATTTGGCTTCCATCAGCCATTGTAAATAAGTTTGCATAAATGTAGAATTAGGATCTCCAGAGATTTTTCGATTCATGTTTCTACAGACTAAAATTGTAACTCTGATCAGTTGGGGCTGTGAATGTTCTGGGTTCTTCTGATAGAAGGACGTTCTCCAAAGTGTGGTTTTTGCTTCCAGAAGTTGCACATTCACTCTCAACATGAGCATGCTTATACTATATCTCTTTTAATACTGCAAGGAATATGTTTTGACATCTAAATGTACTTAACAGAGTGAAGGTAGTATTGATAATACAGGCTTCTGTAGAATATTATGTATGCTTAAGAATTCTTTTAAGCCTGTGTTGTAGAAGCAGAAACAGTGTTTAATGTTCTTGGGCTGCTGTGCTCTGGTTCCTCAGGATCCCGGACAGTATTGGCAAAGACATAGAGAAGGCGTGCCAGTCCATTTACCCACTTCACGATGTCTATGTCCGCAAGGTTAAGATGCTGAAGAAGCCCAAGTTCGAACGTAAGTCAGTTACTGCAGACTTCAGTGATCTTAGAGGAGGAGGTGGGAAGCTGTTCGTTTAAAATGCATTTGCTCTTGGAGAAGATGTTAAAGCAGCATCATAAGCTTCAGTAGCTTCTTTACTACTAGTAAAGAAGCATGTCCTTCTAGTCCAGTGTTTGGCTTTCAGGAACTGCTGCTGAATGTTAAAGGCTTTGGCTTGGGAATGAGTGATGACAAAATGTTTCGGTCCCAAATGACATGGAATGATTCTATCTTCCCATTTTCTGACATTCCCATATAATGCAGCAGCCTGTTGTTGACTTTACATCTTTCTTTTAAAGAGAAAGTTTTAATTTGCAATTTCACTGTGTAGCACTTCCTTCCCTGCTTGTTTTTGTCTGTCAGTTACTGCAGCAGCGTCTCCTTGCATGAGCCTTCCGATCATGCCCACATTGAATCTTCTGGTGGTTTAATTTGTATCTGATGAGCAATTGAGTAATTTAAAACTGTTTGAAGAGGTGCATCTCTCACTGTTTATCACACTCCTTCTTTTTAGTGGGCAAGCTGATGGAGCTGCATGGAGAAGGTGGTGGTGCTGGCAAACCCTCTGGGGACGAGGCAGGCACTAAAGTAGAGAGAGCTGACGGATACGAGCCACCCGTGCAAGAATCTGTCTGAAACTAAAAATCGATGGAAAATAAAAGTTCTAATATACAGAGCTATTGCTTGGTTGCTTGTATTGCAGCTAGACAAAGTTGGCACTGGGTGTGTGGATGGGATTTTCATCAGGTAAACCCATTGCCTTAATTTAAGTAAAAAACCCTAAACTTCTGGAGATCTGCTTTTTACGACTGGTGGTGCGAGATGGGTGGAAGAAAGCAGACTGTCCTTGAAAGGGGGGAAGTACAGTACTAAGGGTTCTGAATGTTGGGGTTTCCCAGGAATTTTGGTCCTTGCAAAAGCAATCTTGTGGGCATGTGCAGAGGTTGCTGTGGTAACAGGTGTATTAAGGAAGAGCATTGTGCAGGGAAATGGGGGTGCCACACAGGGAAACCTGTTGTTTCTGGGAGTTTAACTTAGGGAAGTTGTAGGGATTTATCCATACTGCTTCCTTGAGAATTATGTATGTTTAAGCTTGGTGGCAGTTTGATATGACCTCTCGTGGGATAGATGGGGTCTCTGAAAGTCAAAAGGTGTCAAATAACTCAAGATTTTTTGCTAGGGAAGCAGGGTTTTGAGCAGTGCAGAATGCTCAGGAGCGGGGTTGTGTGTTCAGCCTCTATGAGAACTGAAGGGTAGGTGTAATCACAGTTAAAAACCTGGTGGAACTTGAGAGGGAAGAATTCTGCCATGAAATGGCAGAAGTCAATATTCAGAACATAAAGCTCACTGAAGTGATTTGCTGAGTAATTCTGAGTGCTTTTTCCATCATCTGGTGGCATTTTTGCTGCTTGTTTGGCTTATGCAGGCTTAAATATTGAAAGAGTGTGTATTTCTGGCTAAGTATTGTGCACTGCGGGCATGTTTTGATTAGAATTGGGCAGCAAACCTAAACCTGTACCATTAAATTGTTTGGAAGTTTGTGATTTAAAATCAGACAGTAAAACGGTTTTGACCTATCTGGGAAGGTCTCTGAGGTAGTGGTGGCTCTTGCAGTCAGCTCTGAAATAGCTTTGGGCAAGAAACCAAGGAAAGTAATGAAATGTTACTGTTGCAACAAAGATACTAGGGGGAAGTAAAGGAGTGCTACCCATGAGGGCTGTCCTCATCCATGTTGGGGACTTCTTTCTTTTCCTGGTTGATAATTCTAGTGTGGAGCAAATTGTGGGCAAAATGAAAACATGTTTAATTTATTTGGGAGACTGCAGAGATGGGATGTCATGTTGCGATTCCAAGTTAATGTTTTAATACGGGGAATGATATTAAAACAGCTCATGACTTACTACTCAGGTAACCATCTTTTTGGACTGTAAATGCAGGCCTGCTCATCCTGCTTTTTGGTTTGTGAAGTGTAAGTGTAGTGAGTCTGTGAAACTGTCACGATGCTGAAACAGGCAGAAGGAATGGTGCTGCTTTTAATCTGCTTTGCTCTTTCCATCTGTAGTGTTCAGGCAGATATCATTCTCCTCCAAGAGTCCCACACAGTCACATTTTTGAAGCCATATATTACAACAAATGTCTCTTTGCTTCCTAACAAAAATGAGCATTTTTCACTGGAGTTGGAAAACTGATTTAGCACAGGTGTGGCAGGATTGGTGATCTTTGAACCTGCTGCAGTATGTTTCAGTGCAGGTGTGTACATACGTATCTGTGCATCCGAGTAAGATCTGTCTGCTTTCTGGTAATGGACATGTGCTGGCTGTGCTGTCTCCGCTTGGCAGTAGTTCCACCAAATAAATCCAAAGGGACTGCAGGTGGCCTGTACCCTCTGGACTAGAAAAGTTACAATCTGAAGGAGTAATTTCTGAGAACTTGTGCCTTTTATCCTGCTACTTTTTCCTTCAGCTGTATGTCTGAGGAGTGTATGTTGCAAAAAGGCTAGTCCAAGAGGATCTGGCGAAGGAACAAGAACTTGCTTTATTCATGTTGGTTTTAATTTATATTTTGGAACTGTAGTCTGCTGGCATTACCATGTAGGCACTGTGGGTAAATGTATGCGTTACAACATGAGTTCAGATGAGGCAGAAGTAAGCAGGAAGGAAAATTTTGTGCATCCTCTGTATTCTTTGTACAAATACCAGCTGAAAAAGCATGTATGAATAGCAGCAGTCGGCAGAGCACGCCTGAGGAATTGCTAATCAGCCCAGGGTCAGCCTGTGCATTCATCTCAAATGATCTTGCCATGGTGAGTAATGCTTCACTCTTGTGTGATACCTCCTGGTTGCTGCAGGTAGCAAATACAGACTGGTGCAGGTCGTAAGTGTGAAACACACCTGAGTCTGAGGGCTGGAATAAACTGTGTTAACAGCCATCAGGATTCTCTGAGGGGTTTGGACCACTTGCAAAGTGATGTGATACTACTGTATTGTTGCTTTGGGGGTGGGTTGTTAGGATTAGTTTTTTTGTTTGGTGTTTTTGTTGCTGTTGGGTTTAAGCAGAATGAGATCCATAAAACTTGTGGAAAGCTCAGGGCTCACCAACTCCAATGCCGTTGTGACTTAATTATAAAAATTTTATTGGTTAAATACATTCTTAATTTACAGAGGTACCATAACAAATTTACTGGACTTAACAAAGATTTATTTAGGACACTTAATTGTACACATAACACAGATGTCTTCCTGAAGCTATCTCCAGAGGGTGGGTCAAACAGAAAAGGCTTTTGATAAATGAGGCTTTTACTATCATATATGTGGGGTCTAGCAGAATTTCAAGGCTACAGCTGAAATTTGCTGCTATATTGCAGATAGGATTTGTGCTCCACCTCATTCTCTCTTCTTTTTTGCAAATTCTGCACTGTACACCTCAGGAATTTCACGTTACCATCAATATGCAGCTTCATGGTGACATGAGGAATCGGTCTTAAGAAAATCCCTTCTTGTAAAAGCCGAGCATGGAACTTGTTCGCGTTTTAAGAACTAGGCTCTTGTAGCTGCCTGCAGTAATGCAAGCAGCCTTTAGATGGCACTCCTTGCTCTGAAGATAAGGCTTTGCTGCTCTTCCTGCCCTGCGTGATAGGGAGGAGGTGGTTCAAATAAAGCAGTGGCCATCGTCAGGCACTGACTTTGCACATTCAGTGGAAATTACAAAAAAAAGCCAAACCGGTCAATACAGAGTTATAAAAAGGGGACGAGGAAAGTGGGAAAAAAAAAAATAGAAAAAGTCAGTTCTACTTTTGAGACTTGTATCAAAATCTTAGAAAACTGCCAGACAAACAGGAAGTAAACATCATACACTTCAGCCTCATCCACCACCCCAGTGATGTGGTGGGTCTTGGGAGGACCTGGGTATCGTGTTGGTGTGGGCTCTGCTTGGTTCTGTTCTCACACTGAGATCACTGGAGGGTCAGGACTGCAGTGGCCCAGGTCATGGTGGAAGAAGCCTGTTCTCAGTAGGGTGACCCACTCAAAGCTTGTGGTTGAAAAGCCTTCAGTGGGCTTGCAGGAGTCAGACAAGCTAGATAGCTGTGTGTTTCCTTGGATTTCTCTAGATAGAGATGGCTGTTTTATTGGAGTAAACAACAAGAACCTTTGAATGGCCTGGCAGGATAGCTTGGGGAGTGGGAAGGGTTGTCCTTGGTGGATTTACTTACACTGAAGTTTGATTCCACAGGAGTTCTGGACAGACTTGCTAGGGATGTTAAAACTGAATAATAGGTATATAAATTGTCATGTTCTCATCTTTCTAGAGTAGCACATGATTTATAATTGTTTCTATGTTAATCCTGTTAATGAAAGCAGAAATCCAGTTTCTGCTTAATTAAAACTGTGTGATCTGCCCCCCCCCAGTTGTGTGAATGATATTGCTCAGTTTAAATACACAACATTTCACATTCATGAAGCTTCTAGAGAAATAAAAAAAGGAGTACTAAGGTCTATGTCTGTATTTGCACGTACTGTGCCATAACTGTGATTGTGCAGAGTAAACCAGTGCTGAGGACCTCATGCCTGTGCTGCATGTTCCTTGGGCTCACTTAGCCCATTCCCTGCTGTGGGGGAGTCCTGTACCTGCTGTGATGGTAATCAAAGTGCAGTGCATAGGGAGGGGGAGGGTTGTCCTCACCAGTTTGCTTAGATCCTAAATTAGATGCACCCCAGTCTTTGGCAGCAGCAGGTACTTGTCATAATATTACACCTCCCATTGGTAAAGCTGTAGGCAGGTATGTGACTAAGTTAAAAGCATCTCAAGATCAGTCACGATGCCTCTAGTTTCCAGTCTCCATCCAACACACAACTGTTGGCCCTTTTGCAACGTGAACTTCCAGACCTACAAGAAAATCCTGTAAGAGTATCCCAATACCTAATGACCTACATCTCTTCTGCAGTAAGGACTCGTGCTTACAGTTTACTGGTTCCTTTTTGCTTAGTACAAAAGTGCTGGAATACAGTCGGCAATGCAAGAGCCAACTGCAGGGTAGTGTTTTCTATTCCAGTCTGATGAAATTAGCAGTTAATCAAAATGTGTTCAACTATTTTGTCAGAAGCCAGGTGTTGCAGAAAAGGAATTTATAGGAACTTCGGGTAATAACATGAAGGTACCTCAGCCATGTCTCTCTTAGTTTGTTGTTCCAAGTCACACTGCTGCTTTTCACTAAATGACTTTGCTTGAAGTAACCTCTTGCCAGGCATGTTTTCCTTAAGGCCTCAACAGACCATTTATAATGATGCTCAGTATAGTCGGTATGTGGTAACAAACTGGAAACTAATCCCATGTCTGCTGAAAGCTAAAACCAAGGCTGTATAATATTCTTCATGTTAAGGACAGGAATGGTGTTCTGAAGTATGTTCCAGTTCTTGAGTGGCAAATGAAATGCAGGCTGAGCAAAGACTGGCTTTCCACTTTACATGAAGGGGGTGGAGGGGTAAATAGTTGGAATAGTGCAGCTACTGCATGGATGGGGTCTGAGAAAGCTCATAAATGCTGTCTGTCACAACTAACTGCAGCTGGGAAAGAAGGGCACAATGGTGCTTGAAGAACAGTGGGCAGTAGGAAAATGTAAGCCTGTATCTGGAAAGGATTTTGGGGGGAAGGAGGTCTAAGATGATTCATACCAATTTGAACATTATTCATTGAGAAGCAAAATACTTACAAGTTTTACTTTTGTGATCTTCCTGTATAAGCAGCTTGGGTTAATAATGGAAGAATATTACCCAAGAATTTGCTTTGAGTCTTCCCTCTCACCTGAATTAGATTTGATATTTTCCTGCTATGACGTACCAGTTATCTTCCTTATCTTCTAAGCCATAAAACAAGCAGATTCTACTGTTAATGTGGAAGCCAAGCAGTAATGAAACCTGAATAGCAAACTTGACCTACATACTGAGTTCTGTAATTAAATCTTAAAAAACAATTTTTAAATTTGGATTTAAAAAAGATTTGAAAGAAGCCCAAAGAAGCTTTATGCAGACTTTGTGCATGATAAATGTAATACCAGATAGTAAATGTACTAGAATGCTATTTTAAGTTAAAATGGTGTTGCACCACAGTATTTCCCTAGTTGGAAACCACTAAAAACCCTGCTTGTATTTGCTCTCAGAGCATTCATGAAGCTTGACTACTGTCACAGAAGACTCCAATTATCTTACTTGACTTCAAGATACTAGTATGACTGTCTAGAAAAAGTAGTGCAAAACATTGATAGTCAAAACACGTTGATGTCTTTGCTGTGCCTTTAGGATAGAAAACATTCTTCTGTGTGCAGGGAGTACAAAGAGAAGCAACACTCATGGTGCTTTTAAAATCTGAACAAAGTTCTTGGGAAACATCCCAGACTTTCCTTGTATCTCTCCACTCATCCAGTCCTCGTCCACAGATTCCAGCTCTGTTATTATCTCACCTGCCTGTAAGAGAAGAAGTAATGTGAGCCTGTGCAGCTTACCCTGCAATGCTAACACATGCATAGCTGGTGTTACTCAGAAGCAATTAATACCAATCACATAGAAGCAGGATACGGCCAGTCTCTTCTATTGGTTGTATCTCTGAGATTGTTTGTCCAGACCAGCTGAAGCTTCTTTTAGGGTAAATACTTGTCTATATTGAAAAAGCACTGCTGGGTAACTTCTTGTGTTGCTGAAGCTCTCCAGGCAGACAGGTACATAAGAGGGTTGTCTCACAGGTTCCCTGCCTCACTTGTTATTTGTGTGTTTCCCTGCAGTTATTAGGGTTCCTTTTCTGAAAACACTTAAGCTTTTTTTTTTCCCCTTTTTTTCCTTCTTTCAATTTAGTCCCAGTATTTCCCAGCACTTGGAAAGCTTCCAGAGGAAAGCGTCCTCTCCCCAGAAGGAAAACAATCATCTAAGTATCTCAGTGTGCCTGTTTAAAATAATCTGCAGCTCCTGTGTTTGATCCTTCCTCCTGTTTTCATCATCTCACGCCACACCGTTCATCTGAGGTACTGTCATGGCCTGGCCTTTCTGCCAGTACCTCTGTTTCCCTTTTCTGCTTTAAAAAAATCATCTGTCCTTTCAGCATTGCAAGCAGCTAGTGCCAAAACTTATTATTTTGCTATTTTAGAAAGGAAAATAGGGTGTTCCAGCTGATACACAAAATTTTGGGCCTGCTGTGTAAGTCTCTTGTTTCTCAGAAACTTGCTTTTGAGGATGCAGTTAGCTAAGTCATGACTTTGAATCCACAAGGGCATGATCACTGTTTCTTATTCATGCTTCTTAACACTATCTGGGCATCCACCAAGTATTTAATTTCTCCCCTTGCTCCTTTGACAACTTTGTATTGTGCTGCCAAACTTAGATTTTGCTGTACTAGGTGTCTCTTAGAGTAACTGCTGCTGTAGCACGGGCACCCTTACTATTATCCTCCTCTTGTTGCTGTCTTTATAGTTTAAAAAAAAAGATGTTCCCTTGACCGTATCAACTGGTCAAGAACTGAAAGCACTGCAAAGTGAGGTTGGTTTGTTTCTTGTCATGTCTTCTGGATCAGAGAAGTCAGAGGAATTCTGTACCTCCGCACCTCTTTTCAATGTCTTCAGTGAAGACTGCCAATATGAAACAGAAGTGGTAAGGGCAAAACTTTGTTGAGAGACCATTTATCAAATGTGTTAATATCTATTCCTATTACACGTACTTTGTTCTTTCTTGTTCCAAACCTACTTTCACAGTGGATAAATCCTATGTTTAGCATTCTTTAGCAGCATAAGACCTTTTGGAAAAACATCTAAGAGAGGTACTTACTTTGAAGGAAAGCTCATCTTCATTTTCTCCATGAAAATCATAAAGAGCTTTGGCTTTTCCTTTCTTTCCTCCTACAGACTGTGACATCTCTACTCTGGCTGCAGAACATGGACAAGACAAGTTACTTGGATTGGAATGAAATAAATCTGGTTCCAGAGAAGTTTTCTGTCATTCTCATGTTTTCTCCCCACTACTGTGCTACAGGCTGTCCAGATGGTATTACTATTGCTACCAGTGAATTGGCAAATTCACTGTCCTACTGGAATAAAAATCTCTACTGCCACCAGTTCATTTTACAGTAGTAACACCTTCTCATGGTTCTGCTTCTACAAGGACTGAAATGAAAGTTCACTTGTGCAACTTTCCAATAATAATGTCTAGTAAAAGCTGTCTCTTCCTCTTTGTACTTGGAGATGAAGCAGCACCTGGTGTGTGCTATTTGCCAGTTAGGTGGAATTTATTTCCTTCAACTTTCACTCATAGCTTTACTTGCAAAAGCAATGGGAAAAAACAGTGACATTTTATGTCCTGTGAAGGTTTTGCCTGCAGTGATTTGGGGACCAAAGAGAAGCTTCGGGAGAGTAAGCAGCCTTTGTTCCTTGCTTCCCCAAGGGCACTGCAACAGATCTGTGCCAAGACGCACCAGTTGTAGTTATTTACAGTTCTACCAGCTCTTTGGCTATGCTGAAGTGTTTTTCTTCAGCTGAGGGAGGAACCTGGTTCTCCAGTCATCCCCTGCACCTTTTGTACCCCTGAATTCCTACTAAAGGCAGTTCAAGGGTCCTGTTTTGCCTGTGCCTAAACCACACTTTAAACCATGCTATAATCTGCATTACCTCCCAGATAACTTACTGACTAGAGCATTATATTGCCATTATTAGAAAGAGTGGTTCAACACTTAGTTTAGCTTTAGGATATTAAGGACCGCAGTGGTGTGTGGCTTGTTTATGCAGTGGAATAGTTGGGTTCTCCCAGAACCCAAATGCCATGACTGTCACAACCCAAGGAATAATGAATTGCCATCTAGTAGGAGCACTGTACCTGAACAGATCTGAACAAAAACTGCTGGGAAAATCCCTTCTTTTTCATTCAGTCTTCCTCTATACCACTCTGGATCTACTTGTTCCAGTATTTGGATGTAGTCGCCCTTTTTAAAGGATAAATCGTCTTTGGTTTCTGCTGTGAAATCATGAAGCGCTTCACACCACTGTTCTGAGCATCTGTTGTTCTATTCAAGTGAACAGAAGAAATGCATTAATTTTAGAAGCGTTAATGGTGCCCATAAGCTGATGGATGCTGGTGAAAGCAGCTGTACAGAACATGGGTGTCCTGACTTTCTCTCATACAATAGCGTTGCTGCAGATGTAGACGAGAATGGCATTTCAGCAATTACCACAGAATTTCATCTGGGCTCAGACGCATTCCTTTTTATCACTGATGGCAGGGGACAGGATTAATCAAGTCAAAATTAGACCACTAAAGAAATACTTAAAATAGAGCTAACAAGAATTTGCTTCAGCACAAAGGATAAGAATTTACTGATGTTAATTTGCCAGGAGCTATGAATTCAATCGGTTTAGGCCAACCGTCAGATTTCAAGATGGGACCAAGCAGCACTGTGTACTGTGGGCATTGTGTTACATCCAGGGATAAAGTTGTGCAGCTAATCTGACATTAGAATAGAAAGTCTGTGTAAAGCTATGAAAATGCTGTTTAAATTCTGGCCCTCACCTACAAAGTTTTATTACCTGAGGAAGGGAAGAAGAAACCTCCACCTTGTTCTTTAGTGTTGCTCCTGTACCTACATAAGTAAAGCACAACTTAGAATGACAGCAATGACTATTCAAAACCTTACTAATGATAGAGATTTTAGATATTTAAAGCGATTATTAAGAATAGCTTCTTAAGAAGTCCTGCTATTCCTTTTGGGTTTTTTAATGTGTCTTTTCTCTCTTTCTACCTCCTTCCCACGTTCATTGTCCTTTTGCACTTTTCTCGTATACACATGCAGTACAAAACCATGTTCCTGAAGATTTTTGCAAACATATTCATACCTGTTCCAGGCAGATCTTCAATTACTTCCACAAAGTTCAAGGGGAAGATTCCAGATATGCCTCTGAGCTCTCCTTTGGCCCACTCCTCATTTACATAGTCTTTCAGGATAATAGTTTCACCTTCTGAAAAACTGAGCTCATCTTGCTGATCTCCAATATATTCAAATCGTGCTACACATCTTGGGCCTCTGCACAAAAATAAAGAGAGAAACTGACTTGCCTTATTTATTATTATTGCCCACTTAATAATATGCAAGCATTGTCCAAAATATGGACTGATGTAATAACTTAAATGACAGAATGCACGGAAGACAAGATGGGTGAAAAATTGGCATCTAGCCCTGGTTCTCATCTCTGCTTTATGAGGAGGATGAAGGAGCTGGATGCAACTTCTGCATCACAATCCCTGTTACAGTATTTTGCATAAGACCCTATTTCTCTTCCAAACAACAAGAACAATGTCACTTTGTTTCTGGGCTACCTGACTCATTTTATAGTTTTGCCTATATCCAAATAAGTGTCCTGATACACTTATGTTAAGAATTTGATGTTTTTTTTGAGCAAGCATCAAATTTAGATGTAAGCAAGCATGGGTAGGGGGTGGGTGTTGTGTATTTGTCCCAGATCCCAAATGCATGGAGGTTTCACAGGGGAAAGATAGTTTTAGTCTACTTTGACAAACTTCATTCTGTAAAATCCATCCCAGGCATGGGGAAATAACTTATTTATCAACGAAACATCAATGCATCTGACAAATTTCACAGTTTGTTGAAATGCTGAAAAAAAACCCTATATTTTTCTTCCTTTAAATATACATAATAATGTAATAAACTAATAATGAAATAATAAGAAATTAAGAAAATTTTTAATCTCTCAAAAATGAAAAAAGTGGTAACAGGCTTTAATTCTTTATATAGCATCACAACATACAAGCATTGTCAGTTGCTTGATTCTCACCTCTGTCCCCCACTCCTATTTTTGCCAAAGCTTCAGGACAGAGCTAGCACTACCTCTTTCTTTCTTAGCTGCAGAAGCAGCTTTTAAAAATAAAGTTTCATTTAAGGCAAGCCAAGCTCAATCTGAAGAACAAACTGAATTATCCCATTGATAGTAATAGTTCCTCTCTCTCCCTGAATTTGTTTTAATTGGTATAATGAATGATTACAAAATCCAATAAATCATCGAGTAAAAATAGCACAAAAGCTGTTTTGTGCCCACAGATCTTAGTACAAGTGTTTGCAAACAAATGTGCTTGAAGTATATTTGGTAATTTCATTTGGGGAACTTCAGATTCACCTGTACAGTTATGCATTTTAAGGTTAGATAGATTTCTCTACTTAAAGTACAGCTGTATTCTGTCCCACTTTATCTTGTTCTTTCAAATGAGTGGGAGCCCTACCACATTGTGTCTTATAAGGATACTGGAAGAAAGCTGGCAAGTCCAGGAGCAAAGAGAGAAGTGTGCAGTGCTGCTCAAGTTCATCAGATCGGTCCACACTCTCTGTAACCAATTTGCATGAAGAATTATGGGAAATGCTCTTCTAATACAACTCTTAAGAGGAAGAAAAGTGAGTGAAGGGGACTGTATCTACATGAACATTTATTATAAACATTGTAACATTTATCTTACAAAAATGAAGTGTTTTTAGGCTTTTTTCTTTCTTTTTTTTTTTTACCTGAATACGATGTTTTCACCAAAAACTGTCAGTTTTGAGAGCTTAATTTTTGAAATATATTTTGGTGAATAAACTGTTCACCATATTAGCCTCAATGCAGACAACGCTTCAAAGTTATCTTTCTTTTTACTTACTAGTAAATCAACACAAAAAAGAAAATAGTATTGATGTGACTCACTTAATACATTGTGACGAACAGGGTATTCTTTTCCTGTTGCCTTCTTCTGGAACATCAATCTAGTAAGACAGCAAAATTAGTAAAATCTTCTGTTTCAAGCTCTGGCAACATAAGTACAATAAACTTGGAACCAGTCAGAATAATCTATTTTTCAGCTAGGCGTCAGCTCCAGTTGTGACCTCCATGTGACACTCTATACATGCTATGATATTTGATGATACTAATGTAGATTTCAGTTTTGTATGCCTGATTTCTCATTTTCCAATCCCATGCAAACAAGGAGCACTGTTTAATGTTTTCTGTTGTGAAACTGATTTGCTGTTTCTACTTGGGGCATGACTGACAGAATATGGGACTGGATGCAATTACATGTTGTTGCATTTAACTCCCAACTTTCAGTTGGTAATTGCTCTCTATTATTTACTAGCACAATATATTACAACAGACAAAATTATTGTTTACACTTATCCTGTCTGGGTTCTGGTAGCCAGCTGTCCTCCAAACACAAATACATCTCACAAATCTCACTTGAACTGGAGAAAGACAATTTAGAAAATCAATACATAGATATATCAAACAGACAGCATTCAATGCCTTTATCATAAGAGGACTTCAACTGTATTTTTGGTATCGTTATTTATGACACAAAAGATGATCTGTGAGATGTGTAAGACCCTAGAGACCCTGGCGAGGAGCTTTGGGTTACAGTTTGCTATCACATTAGCCAGCTCCCATAAAATCAACAAGAATGTTACATTAGCTTATGTGAAGGACTGGAGATCATGCTGGCTTTTAGGACAAATAATCTTTGCTGTGCTCCTTCTAGAGCAGCTGGCACCTGTGGTGCTCTGAAGGTTCTAAGTAACAACCATGTATTATTGCTGGGTATCCAGACCTAAGCTGTTAACCTAGCTCACCACACTGTCGTGTATAGTATAGAGACCTTGTATCAACATCAAATCTGACATGAATGAAGTCCTCAGTAAATCAACCTCCTGTACTGTGCTATTTTTTGACACCCCCCCCTTTTTTTAATGTTTTTTTGAAACAAAAGATTTTTGCACTCAAAGGGTAACCCCAACTAAAACAGAAATTTGAAACATCTTCCATAGCTTTCACGAAGTTGTATCTGTCTGTATCAATGCTGAAGTCAACCCAAATAGCCTTTTCACTGTTTTAACATAAAATCTTTTCTCTATTAGCCATCAGTAGCAACAAAAGCTTTTAAATTAAACTGTTGGTCTGTGTAGAAGTAGCTATTCCATTTAGCTAACAAATCTTTCTCATGAAAGTGAATCAAGCATGGTTCCATTATTACTAATGCCAAGTTTAGTTTTTATTCTTCAGTATTTTTCTTAAAATCTTAAACACCATTACAAGCAAAACAGACACCCTGCACTCTCTGCTGGTTACCAAATACTTGGTATTGCCCATGTAGCGGCAGTGCTCATCTCTGCCAGCTGTCCTGGCTTGACACAGACACTATCTTTAATGGGTCATAGAATACCACACTGAAGGGACCTCAAAGATCATCTGGTCCAACCTTCCTTGGGAAAACATGACCTAAACTAGATGTCCCAGCACCCTATCCAGCCAAATCTTAAAAAGTGCCCAGTGCTGGAGAATCCACCACGTCCCTGGGGAGAGTATTCCAATGGCTGATTGTTCTCATTGTGAAAAAATTTTATCTTGTATTAAGCTGGAATCTCCCCAGGAGCTTGTGCTCTTCTCCAAGTGAAATGGATGCCCATGTGAATACCCAGCCATACAACTTCAATGCATCCTGGTGTCAAGTTTAGCATTCCTCCATGTCCATACGGCTGGTGTGGATAGCCCAAAGGCCCCTTCTACTGTCGCAGAATGGACTTTAATCTCAGACTCAGGCTTGCAATAGATTTGACCCAGCTTTTGATGCAGTGAACCATACTATATCTCTTTTAAAGATAAGAAGTAAATTAACTGCTATTGGGCTCCAAAACTGCACCTGTCTCTTGTCTGCCGTTTACTGTCACATTCACTAACAGGATTGCTTTAAGCCGCTCATTTACAACAACACAATCTCCTTGCACTGTGCCAGCACCACCACTTGTGCAGCCACTTAGTAAGCCACTTAGCTTGATTGATCCAGCTTGGAAAAAAAAAAAAAATCTAGGAAGAAAAATACCATGTTTCATTGGGCCCAACTGTTGCCCCGACCTAGGTCGCTACATGGTTATGAAAGTGGTGATTCCAGCACAGTTTAAGGGATAGGAAAATGAAACTGGGAGATTGGGGTGAGGCACAAAAAGCAACCATCTTACCGAGTGTTGATTCCTACATGCAGCTGTGAACAACTAATCTGCTCTGTAGACCCTGAGAAACCACCCAGGTTAACAAAGAGAATCTGGTAAGGGCCATGATTTTCTCACTTGGCTTCAAATGATAGCAAGACAATCCCCATAACACAAGCTGGTCCTGCCAAATCAAGCATCTTTCTAATACCATACAAACAATATCTTCTGTCTTCTGTACTGCCAGAGGGAAAAGAGATTATGTAAATACAGAATTTAGTTAAACACACAGGAGCTAGAGTAAAACAGAACCAGAAAACAAATGCAGCAGGATCTTACGTAGCAATGAACACAAAGCCTACATACAATTACTTTAACAAAGCTGGCAGGAAATATCCCTGTGCGATTCCCACATTTTCCTCTGTACCACTCAGTATCGATTTTCTCCAAAAGACAAAGAGTGTCTCCAGAATGGAGTTCCAGGTCATCAGGATGCTCTGTAAGACAGCATCATTTCAGTTAACAGTAGTTGTCACACTCACTGATTTTCTTTAAGTAAAACCTTCTTAATATAAATACCACAGACAAAACCAGAATGGGTTTTCAAAAAGTCTTAATTACACTTGATAAACTAGTTTGCTTTAACTAAAAGACTAGCCCAACTATAGCTAAACCCATGGACTTGAACGACTCTACATGCAGGCTTTGCAGGTTGAGCTTCCTCATCATTTTTAAGCAATAATTCTTAATCAAATTCCAATTTGAAAATCTGGGAGTAAAACAAGCTTCCAGAATATTCACATTTGCTTACCTGCAGGAAAATCATGCAGGACTACAGCATGAGGTGCACTCGTGTCAGAAACTTTTGGAGGGTGATTTGAATCCTGACAACATATAAATACACGTAGTTTATAAATCATTGGAAGATTCTCTGTTACATGCTCTGAAAGTAATTTTGTGACTTTAGACACCATGTTTTTCTGGTATCAGATAATCACCTTTGGAGGCAACGGTTAATATCGGTCACAGAGCTATGGGACTGAATCCTGTATGCCCTTTGCTAGTGCAAACCAGAATACATTTCATCAAAACCTACTTTTGAGCCAGTAAACTGAAGGAAAGGCATGTAACTTTTCCCAGTATAGAAAAAGCCTCAGCAATCTGTGGGTCAGAAACCTGGAGCGTTGGCATCAACTCTCATTGCAAGGGTTGTGGTCAAATTTTGCACTGCTGCTCAGTACTGCATGCTGCCAGCCACTCTTGCTTTCTTCGAGGGAACACCCCAGCCCAACTCTCCCCAGTACACTCATCAGGGGCAGCACATCTGCCCCTCAGCATTTTAGAGGGGTGAGCAAGCCACAAGGCCTTTGCTTACCAGAGGATAACTGAGCGGAAAAGAGTTTTGCTGTGGGATCTTCATAAAGGGAAATGATATTCAAAATGCTGAGCCTTTTTTTTTTCCCTCCCTCTAGGAATTTTTAGACTGTACTAATTAACAACCACTGTGAATTGCATTCAAAGTAATGGATTGCATACAAAAAACCCAACCAAAAGACCAACATGGACAAAGATAAGGCCAGAATAATACGAATTACAACAGAAACCAACAGATTGCATAGAAATATATTTCAGCCATGTAGGTTTCTGTTAATAATCAAAAAGGCTGCTCAAAGCTGTAATTTATACTATTTAATATTGATCCAGTCATACCCTAAAAACATGTTAAGTTTTGTAGAAGCAAAAAGAGGAAAATACTTTGAAGTCTGTATGTCAAAGCCAATTTACTGATGTATCATATACAGTACTTCATAAAGCTACTCACTTGTCTTTCGCCCACTTTTCAGACACTCAGCCAAGGGAGTGATTATCTTCCAATGAGACAGAGGAATTTTACCAGTTTCCTCTACCTTCTGGCACTCCAAATAATAACTGTTGCTCTGCTAAGGAAGCAGAATGTCCTTGTGCTATGAGGCAAATCATGATTATTGGGTTTTGTTTTGGCAGTTGTTTTGTTTTTATTGAAGAAACACAAGGATTTAAGAAAACACTATTATATTTCTCAGTGTAACCTTTAAAGCCCAAAGCACTTGATGCTGTAACACAACAGGAGTCTTACTCATTAAATATTTATCAGCAGAAAAAAATGCCTTACCTTACAAGACAGATCTCCATTGTTCCTGGGAAGACAATCTTCCTTGGCAACTCCATGAGGCACAGGTAGCTTGAATAGAAACAGAGGCAAATAGAAATATCTATTTCACTTCTAAGCACCTGAAATTCACACTGCAAGTGAAAATGGTCAGACAATGGAATTATTCAAACCACCTACTGCAGGTAACTAATTTAGCAGTCCAGTGGAAGAGGACAAGGTCCTTGGAAGGCACTCAAACAGACTGCTGGTGATATGAACTGCCACTTGAAGAAACTCAGGTGCTGTCATCTGCTTTAGAAGTGTCTCAGCCATCTAACTGGTATCATACCATACAGTTAATGATGTTCAGCAACACACTGGCACAAAAATGTATTCATTTGTCATGGAGAGCACTGGAAAAACAACTTGGCAGAAAATTTCATTGGCAGCAACATTTGAGGGAAGGGAATTACGAGTGATCTGCTACTGAATAAAATCTCATGTAAAAAATTTGTCACACGTTTCTTATGCAAACAGGTGTGGCTGCATCAGAGAGGAAGCATCATGCTTCCCTTATCTCAAAGCTGTTCCTACTATCAACTTAGATACATCTTTCTCTCTCTTTCTTGCTCTTGTGCTCCACCAAGGATCTAAATGCAAGAGTGAAGATCAAAGAGAAGGCAACAGAAAGCTTCCACGTTGTACTGAATGTTGATGTTCATGCTATGGTTGCGTGGGTGTTTTTTTTTTAACAACAGCACTGGTTCAAGCAGCCACCAACTCTGATTGCTGATCAGTTTCAAGTACCTGGGGAAAGACTCTCCTTTTTATCTGTAATATTGATCCACTTACATTTACTATTCCGTAACAACATGTGCAATACCAAAAAGAAACTATTTTATACTGAAAATGCATGGCATCAATAGGATGAAAATGTAAAGGTAAGTGATATTACATTCCTCACTCTTTGCAGGCTTGATTAAGCAAGGTCAACTACTTTTCAAGTTAAGCATTTTGACATATACAGGGAAAACCAATATACAAACGCAATCATTTAGCATCTTTTCATGTGCTGTGGTAGAATTCAGAACTGGTGACTATAAAAAGAACCCCTCAAACCCAAAAGATATGCATTAAAGTTATATATATTAATGATATATATACACAAAAATACACATATCTGTACTTTGCTTGTATATTCTTTTCTCCAGTATTACCTTACAGTACTTATTACTATCTATCTATCAGTATTTTCTAAGGAAGTTTATGCTGATAGATACACTTTGAAAGCCACATCATAGTAGCCTTCCTCACTACCTCTTTCACTACTGTTTAAAGCAACACTGGTTTATGACCAATAGTCTCAGAATATCTCAACTCTCACCATGTATTTATTGTAGAGAGGATGACCTGGTTTAGGTCTAGGAGGTAAAGCTGGATCTGAATTTTTAAAGACTGAACTTTTTGTTCTCTTGGGTCCCAATCTGAACTTGCTGGTTTTTCTGTCAGGAGCGATGTCAGATGTAGACCGTGAAAGAGCTTCCTTCTGGGACGAGGTCTTGGTTGCAGAGAGTTTTGGTGGAGGTGGCCTCCCAGGAACACTTCTAGGTGGGGGAGGTCGAGCAGGTATAATTTTTCCATTCATAGGCCTAACAATCAGGTAAAGCATAAAGGAAATATTCATATTAATAAGCCTGCTGCCTCATCCTCCACCACAGCGCTAGCTATAGAATATACAATGAGGAAACATGACTCAGGATGATCTGGACTGTAAAGTTTGTCGTACCTGAAGCTCTCTGGGAATAAATGAACTCTTCAGATACTGGAACTAGAGGATCAAGTCCTTAGATTGCTTGACTACGTATTTCTAAGTCTGCTCACCTCTTTCACTTCTCAACAGCCTGCCAGCTTTCTGGAGAGTCCACTACGTAAGCCAGATTTCTTTCAGCAATCCACCCTGAGAAAGAGCTTTGTCTGAAGCTGCCTTAGGAGGGAGTTGTTCTAGTGGAGAGCTTTAGTGAAAGCCCTGAGAATCTCTGCTGGTCTAGCTGGTCTTCAGCAATAAGACTAGCTCATTCCCTGGGATGTCACCTCAAGTGACTTCTGGGCCTCTACTGAAACTGATGACACATAACACCACTTTGCACTATGGCATCAATAGCAGAATTACCACTTTTATGCAACTGATGTCTACTGCTGAAAGAAAACACTGGTGAAAACACTTGAGTTTTCTGGCAGTGCTGGAGGTACCACACTTCCATTAGTGTGCCAGTAGTTTAAGAACCAAAAATCAGAAACTAGTAGGTGTCAGTGGTAATTAATCTAAAAAATCCCCCTTACTAAGCACTGATTAAAAAAAGCTGCTGATAGAGTACACCCAAGCCACAATTTTTAGAATCAGAGTGTGGCCAAATCAATAATTTGCTAATGAAAAAATCACCTCTGTTATAAACAAGCATTATGTATACATAACTTTGGCTTCCTGTTATTAAGAACCCTGGCACTAACACTATTCCAAAAATACAAAATTGTTTTATTATTAATGGGAAATATTTGGCCATTTACTGCAGGTTTCTGCTACAGTTGTCCCTCTTTCATGTAGTGTAATTCAGCACAACTATTTGCTTACATGAATTCCTCAAGGGTCTGTAAAAATCATTAAGCACAACAAATGTGCATTAGTGGATCTCTGGAGTCTCCTTCTGACGTATTTTGAGTGTCATCCACAACTTGAGACACTAGTGTTCTACTAATGCTCCTGCTACTAGTTCTCCATTACTATTTGAGATTGGATTCGTTTTTCAATTTTAAAAAAATAATCCACTTCTGTTCAACTTCCACCTCTCCCGTTTCCTGGCCTCATCCTAAAGTAAGCTTTTTTTAATGTTGACAAAATGGGAAATTCCAAGTTAGACTGCATTAAACAAACCAACCCATGCATTTGTAACGCAAGTCAACTAAACAAGAAAACTCTAACAAGCAATTCAAATAATTATTATTGCTTACTTAAAAAAAAAAAAATTATCCATTTGATCAGAAAAGACAAAGGACAAAATGTTTACTGCAGTTCCAGAGACCCTCAGGAGAATCAGGAATGCTGCTACACTAAACAGAACAGGGGAAAGCAACAAGCCCATAAGGGACGATAATGAGGTGTTTCTTTGTGGGTACAACCATATTCTTTCCTGTTAATGAATACTTATTATTATTGGTAGTCTAAGTTTAATAGCTGAAGTATTCTCTTATTCTGACACAACAGAGGAAGCCCACAGATTTAGAGTGCAGATGCTGAGATAGCCACAGTGGCCTAGCTAGCCAATGCTTTATCTTCCTCCAGTTTGTCTCTGGCATTCAGTGGACCTGAATTTAAGGCTGGTCCAGCTACTTTTGCCTCTACAGACCTTCTTTCTTATTGGGTCAAAAGAATAAAAACCCTAAGGTTATCACTGATTCTGCATCTTCACAGTTATTTTACGGCTGAAGTGAACTGTATAAACTAGCCAGTACTTCTGGGAAGGCAGTGGCGCAGCATCTGCCCTTTTCAGGGTGACAGCAACTGCCACCTCCATTCCTTTACCACTCAAACCCAGCCACAAGTGCAAGTGCTGTGGGTGAAAAGGTTAAAGATGCAGAAAGGAATGACTGTCAGCAGCCACTGTACATTAGCTGAAGAGCCAAACAGCTGTCCTCCTATAATCTCCCTGCTCATACCAATAGCGTACAAACAAGTATTAATCAGCTAGCAATTTGGTCCTGCCTATTTATTAGTGAGCATACTACCTACCCAAGCCTATTGAGTTAGAAATAGAGTTGGTAGTGTCTACAGTGAGACTAACTAGGCAAACTAACTTAGAAACACCACTTTTAAGTGAATCACTGAAGAACTGCACTTACCTTGGGGGTAATAGAGGATCTAGCTGAGGCACTCCACCTTTTTCTGAATGATCTGACTCCTATAAAGATTCAAAAGAAAAAAGCCACTTCTTTAAGCCTAAGAAACAAAAATGAACTTGTTTAAATGATGCATTTCTTAAATTATAAGCTACATACAGGAAAAACAGGAGTTGCTAGAGGTCTGGGAATAAAGTGATAAGTAGTATGGTGCATTCTAGCATTTCAAAGTCTTGTTGGACACAGAAGAAAATGTAAATCATCTGGGTGACTACGTGAATCACAGCTTGAGTTGTGCATTAAGTATGACCCAGCCCTCTTCTCCTACCACATGGGAGTCAGGGCTCAAGAGCTAAATTCAGGAGAGTCATACAAATGTACAATTTCACTGCCCACAGAATTTCAACTGCTGCAGTCACATCATCAATTTTGATCTAACTTTGACAGATGAAACACTTTGAATAGGCTTAAAGCAGAAAACATGACATTAATGAAACACAGGACAGCATCTCTTGCAAGTAACATCAACTGTCATTAAAGAAGACATCTAAGTATGTTTCCTAGAGATCTAAAATACAAACCCTGGTGAATTTTGCTTTGGCACATTATGGTGTTACTCCTCTCAGCTGCCCATCCTGACCCTGCCAGAGATTACTACCCTGTAACAGTCAGCAGAGGGAAACATGTGCCATGTCTGAAGGGCTTGGACCACAGCAATGGATTAACAAGTTACCATCCTTTCTGCCTCCTGCTGTTCACTGTTCTCCCAGTGCCAGAAAGTATTGCCAGCTCCTTTGAACAAGCACAGCTGCTTGTGGAACAGCGTGGTAAATGAGAGTGCTGAATCTGGGTTCAAAAGTATCATTTTTTGAACCAGTAATATCCAATAGGTCTGAATGGTCTTGTTTACTTAATTAGCGATACATGTTCTTAAAACTGGTAAACAATTTTGGTGATCTTTCATCCCTAGAAAATACCTAGGTGAATTTTGTGACAAAATTTTGACCTTTGATTAAGTCTCAAAATGAATGTTCCTGGCTGAACAATCCTGATTAGAAAGAAACCTGCCACTTTCAGGTGGGGATGTTATATGAAAAAAATTCCTCTTCTGTGTGAAAAGGAAGAAATCTATGCCAACTACTGCTTACAGTCAACAATTTCTACTGTTGTTGGTTAATTGCTTCCACTGACAAACAATACTAGCTTTAGAAGCACAGAAGTTCATATCTTCCCAAGGATAAGATGTGAATGTTTCAGTGGACTTGATGCAGTCTTTTTCTTAAAAACATTATCTGAGGCTTACATATGCCGGTCACAATAACCTGGATGACACTGGGAAAGTTTTGAGATTGCATTCTTTAAAATGGTATTTAACATCTTGTATTGGACATTATTTTTTCAGCATTACTCAGAAAAGATGGAACCTCTATGAACAGCCTCTTCAATCAAGACATTTAAAAAACACTTTATCCTATTAGCAGAAGTAGCCACAAAGAAATTTCATGGCAGTTCTCTAGCTAGTGAGGGCTTTTGATTTGACTTTATCTTTTTACTGCCTGTGGTTTCCAAGACTGTCATTCTTGCCATCACAACACTCAATATTTGGAAATTCTACTGTCATTTTCTAGTTTGTTCTAATTCCCTTTTGTAAATCCATGTCAAAGGACATATAGGATACACAGCTACAATGTCTACCATTACTAGGTGCTCAGGAGCAAGGAGCAGAGCCTTACTTTCCCAAATAGATGGTTCTACTCTAGCTCTAACAGGACCAGAAGAAAACAACTAGAAGGAAAGAGCTGAAGAAAGCAAGCTTCATTCATCTACAGAAGTTTTCTCTGCCTGGAAATTAGCACAGACACTGAGAGGTACCATGTGTATGGAGTTAAAAAAGTACATTTCTAAAGGACTTTGACAGCATTTCACTATGTAAATCTCATTGGACTTTGAAACACTTTGCCATGCTTTTGAAAGTAAACTGTAGAATATCCCGATTCCAGCTACTAAATACAGAAAATTGAAGATAGATGTGATCAAAGTTCAATAAAATCAACAAAGTACTCTTCAGAACTGACAGCAGTCTAAATTATCTGATTAAATCAGAGAACGCAATTAAAAGAAAAAAGCCTTATATTTTTGAGTAGCTCTTTTAATCCTTTGGTCCTTCAAATAACTTACTTTACAAATGCTTGAGAGTCACAAGAGATCTGTTAACCAAAGCAGACAAAGCTGTAATACAGGAAAACAGTCCTAACTTACCACTTTTTTTACTAGGTCACCACTGTTCTGTTTTCCCACTGCGATATCAGAGGTGTTCCCAACAGGTTTTTCAGCAGGAAGTGGCGGAGGGCTATGCAGGATTTCATTTAAAGCTGTAAAAAAAACCAAAAAGTTCCCAAATGAAAGTCTAATTAATAGCTTCTTCACATGAACCAACAATAGGTGAGGGAATGCATATTGATTTGGGCCATTTTTTTGTGAACACAACTTCCTTACTGAAAGGCAGAGCAGCCAATGGGCAGGAACACTTAAAGACTAGTGAAGAAAAAAGGAACATGAATGGAATATTGCAACTCTGGGGTTAATTTCAGAAGTACCTTCCATACTGCATAATGGATCTTCACTTTACACTCAGGACACCAGTAAATTATTCTAGAGTTTCAGGGTTTCAGCTGCAATACTTGTTGATATAATATTAGACGAGTAGAAGAGTTTCTACCCTTGGGAATGTCAGACCCATGACAGGATACCCTGAAACACCATCACCATCTCTCAGCCACATTTCTAAACTGGCTCACTTTTTTCAGCTGTCAGCTCCTGGAATATCTTTCAGGCTGGAAAACAGCTGAGGGTTATTTCAAGTAACCCTGAAAGATCAGGAGACTTGGATGGAAGAATCTCCAGAAAGGTAAAGGCAAGAAAAGAAACTGTTGCCTGCTTCAAAATTCATGGTGACAGAAAGAAAAGAGAGATGGAAGCTCTCTGGTAGTCTTTAAGGAGCTAAGCAAATATAGAAAATGGAAGAGGAAGCAGTATAGCTCTTACAAGGGAAAAGTGATAATGTCTTCAGTTTCACTAAAGAACATAAAAACCTGCTAGTTATATGATATATTGTACTGCTTTCAAAGTCACTGAAACCTGGGAAGCACTTAGACAGGTTTTGCTAGTATCATTTTGTCTCTATGTACCAATCATTTTGTCTTTACGTATTAGAACCCTGCCATCTATTTTACAATGTATTTGTATACCAAGAATATTAATTTCATACAAAGAACTTCAGACACTTCAGCTCTTCTGACTTCCAGCCAGTCTTGAAGTTATGTAAAAATATATGTAGACAGCCTGGACATTTATAGATTGATGACAAAAGAGATTCTATCCAAATGAAAGCATTCAGTTGCTCATTTCATGAAAAGTACTTTCAAAGAAACAACCTGTAAGAAGGAGAAGTGTTGTTTTTAACATCTCAGTTGCATTATTATGATATAAAACACTGGTGTGATGTTTAAAAATGGATCAGTTCAAGGATAAATCCCTTATTCTTAGAAGCAATTCACAGTTACCATGTTGGTTTCCTGCGACCACCTATGACCAAGAACAGGAAAAATAAAACTAATGCAGTTCATCACTCTACTAAGCTAGTCTGATGGATGAAAAATAAAACCAATACCTGACAGTAATTGCAAGAGGAATCTTTTCTAATCATGCCTTATTGATCTATAAAAAGCACGAGAGATTTATTTATTCATGCCACTTCAAATCTTGATATATACAGATGGCCTAATTTCCTTGACTCCACTCTTTACAAGACCATAATTAAAGGAAATAAAGGAAGAAAAAACCCACCCAAGAATTAGAAGGCAGGTGTTATTTTCAGTGATTTCTAAGTGTAATAACTGAAGTGGAAGTTTAATACTTCCTTTCTAATGAAATCTCAACAAAAATGCTAATGCTAAATGAGTGTTTTACCAGAGTTCAAATTCTTAAGCATCCAGCTCTGTCCCCTTTTTGCTAGTGTTTTTGGTAGTTGTTTTGGGATATTTCTTTTAGGTTTGCAGTGGTCACTGGCAGAATTAATCTCCTTCCACACCCAACATGGTGAAAGACCCCTTGTACTGCAATTATGTGGCCCTCTTACAAGGTAAATCCTACTGTATCCATGTTATACCTTGGTCCAAGTAAGTGCAACTTACTTTTCTAATTTTTTTACTTTTAACATTTTACATTTCTACTGATATATGACTACTCTGCTTTCCTGGAACCTGCTTCTGTCCCTCCACATCCATCTTCCAGCTACAGCCTCCCATAAAGCAGTCCTTCGCACTCCCCTGATAATTGCAGCTAAGTACAGCATGGGCGGCAGCCTCCTGTGGAAAGTTCCATTACCACTAGAGAGCAGCAAGGGACCAGTTATCTGCAAGTTCAATAGAGAATCCAGCTCAGGGAAGAAAAAAAAAAGTAAATAAAATTCTCAGGTCTTTTTCTCCTTTCCACCCCCCCGAAAATGGAAATCGCCATTTCCTTTCTGGAGAAGAATTACGTCTTGGATTCTTTACAGTGATCGTAAATGTATTCTTCCAACTGAAAAAAACCTTTATCTATATGATCAGAAAGATCATAATTAACAGAAAGACTTGTTCTCATAACTTTATTTTCAGTCATCTCAGCATTTTTAATAATTTCAAATGCACTTCTCATTTATGCAGAGGAAAAGAAATCTTAGTATTTTAGCACTGGGGAGGTGGGGTGAGGAGGGGAAGAAGGGAACTTGTGAAATAATGAGAGAAAATCTTAGGAGAAAAGCCACCTGGACATCTGGTTGCTACAAACTGGCTCTACACCTAGTCAGCATACTAAAACATGATTTTGAAATACGAGTTTTAAGAGCTATCTCGTGACATTTCTCCCTAAGCTTTGAGGATAAAACATAAGGCTAAAGAGAAGCAAGAGTGTACTCTTGCATACAAAGATCAACACAAAGACCTTGTGCCTCTGATAAATTTCCACTCTGAGATACTCTTGGTGTCATTTGTAAAGCCGTAAAGGATTAGAGGTGAAAGGTGTTAGGGATATGGTAGCTGTCAGAAAACTTTAGTCAAGACCTTGACACAAAGTTGAACACATCAGGTTTTTGCATCTAAGTTCTCACATGCCATTTTTATCTCCTCAACTGCTACCAAAACACTATTGCTTAAATGGCCAGAGATTTAAAATTTCACAAGGGTCAGGGTCAAGGGAAATTATTTGATGTAATCTGTGAAAATTATCCTTACATCCCAGCTGTGTTTGAAGCAAAGTTTAATACAGTAATATTGTTCCTTTGACAAGTGGGGGCCCTGCTCTCAGGAAGTTCGGGAGCAGCAAATATCCTCAGCTGATGTCAGAAGTGAATTTGACCAAAGGTACAACTCAGTGATATGGTTTAGCTGACAAAACAAGCTTGCTTCTGCTGAAAAAGGTCTCCTCTAGTTATTCCCTGCTGCTTCTCTTAGAAGTCCCCACTGTTTCACCTCTGATAGGCACTAGCTCCATAAGGTGCAAGGGACATCAAACGTAGTGCAAAGGAGGGAGCCAGATGAGAGGTGGGAGGCAGGGAGAGCGGAACATGACTCCTAGCTATTTCTCCTTCCCACCACAGCCCTTAGGTTGGCTCCTCTGTCTTGTCAAACTATATTGTAAAATTCCCTTGGTAGCTAATGTAGGTAATAAACAACAACACAATGAAGTAAATGGTAAGTCACAGTTAAAAAGGTTTTCTGAGATTTCTCAGACAATTTGAGAGAACTTACATTTCCCGGGTTTAGCTGGGATTCGGATCACAGTGGGTTTCCGGGCTATAAGTGGTTGAACAGTTTGTTCCTTTGCAGGTTCACTTTTGGTGAGGAACTGAAATGGATCTAAAAGGAAAGAAACAAAAAACACCCCACCCCCCCCTTAATATTTATTTGTTGAACAAAATCTCACTAGGTATTGATTTCATTATTGAGGACTTAGATATTTCGCACAGGAAAGTGATAATAATAATAAAATCAGGATGATGCAAACAGAGTACTCAGCTCTTTGCAAATAACATGTCTTTTCTGTACATCTGCATTCATGGTTGACACATAAACATGCTCCAGATGCTTTCCGGCATTATATAAGCCATTGAACAAGAGGAACTGCATTGCTTCCTAATAGGGACCTGAAATCAGGATGGCTTTAGGGAAACGTTTTCAAAGCAGTAGCTCTAATATGCAAACATAGCTGTGAACACATTCACTAAAAAGTTTTAATCAATAAAATCTTGCCAAAGCTAAACAGTCAGCACTGCAGCAGATAAAATGCCTACAGAAACAAAGCAAAGCAAAACAATGCATTTAAATATTACTGATTACAAAATGCTTTTGCCGTAGAACAACTAATTCTCTGGAAGATTCTGCATAATGTTGTTGATTATAAGCTTGGTGTCAAGCAGAAGACTGGTTCAGACCAAGAACTGGAAGCCGTGCCTGAGCTCTGCCCCTGCCTGTCTCACTCATTCCTCTACAAGCCTGTTCAGTCATTCCATTGGTAAGATAGGAGCACTGTTTTCTATGCTTTGTAAACTTAAGCACTGGTCTCTTATTAATAGGCATGGGAACATATGTGCATGTAGAACGCAGCTGTAGAAACACTCAGACATAAATAAAATCCAAATCAATGGGTTCTTTTCTCAAGTACACCTTCACGTCAAAGAGCAATACGTCCTACAGATCTCTTCTCTGTTGTTAACTGCCACATTTTCTCTGACATTACCAAAAACTGCAGTAAAAAAACAACGCTTAACACAATTGTAAATATGTGAAGAAGAAACTGGAGAAGGGCTCCAGATAATAAATTCTCCATGACACATATTCATAGCCCCAACAACTGAGTCTGATCTCCTCTGGTGGCCTTTTAAGACGTATAGCTCAATGAGATGTTATTTATGGAGTGTCAGAGTTTCAGAGAGGAGGTATGCTGGGCATCTCTTTAAATTCTTCAGGCCTTTCTATAAAAACATACCCTTGCTCCAAAGTACTATCACACTTTTTGATAAATTTGGAAGTCCTGTATTTGATACAACTTTTTATTCAACACAAAACCCCCAATTTTAAAAATTATGTAATACAAAATCATGTTTCTTACAGATCAACACAAAGACGTTGTGGCTCTGATAAATTTCCACTCTGAGATACTGTCAGTATCATTTGTAAAGCCGTAAACAATTAGAGGTGAAAGGCATTAGGGATACGGTACTATCCATAGGAACTGTCGGAAAACTATAGTCAAGACCTTGACACAAAATTGAATGCATCAGGTTTTTGCATTCAAGTGGACACTTGGATAATGTAACACCAAAAATAACATAAAATAGGCCCAAAGTAATTTCAGGGAGAGAAAACACAGTGTCATATTGAGCTGCTGAATTACAGTGTAATGGACTGCCCTCCCGCATGCACACAACCTGGCAGTCACAACTCCCCCAACCACTGCTGCCGCTTCTCTTTGCAGTCCCCTCTGTCCATGTCCCCAGCCCTCCCTAGCACCTGCTGCCAGCACGCAGTGTAGCAAGGACAACATGCTGCAGGGCCTGTGTATGCTTACTCGTGCTCAGATGTCCACCTCCTACTAGCCGCTTGCTCAAGGCTCTGTTTGTAGGCACATCCATCACGTACAGGTGTGCCATAGGGGTTTGTGCCATGGTCTTTTTCAAAGTCAAGACATCTACCTGCCTACAGGCTCCCCAGAAATTTGCCTGGGTACCTTCATGTCACATCTTAATCATTAATCAAAGCACCTCAATTCCTTCTGTCAACCTGCATATACAACAGCTTTAAGCTTACAGTGCAGGTCATAGAATCACAGAACGGTTGAAAGTGACCTTAAAGATCATCTAGTTCCAAACCCCCTGCCATAGGCAGGGACACCTTCCCCTAGACCAGGTTGCTCAAAGCTTCATCCAACCTGGCCTTGAAAGGTCAATGATTTGTCTACACCTAAAGGTATACAGACTATAGTTAACAATAAGCTCTGTTACCCTCCAGGCAGAAGATAACTCCATTGCATTGTCTCCAAAGACACTGGCACACCCAAAACCCTGACACAGGCAACCCACAATGTTTTAGAAGGTAAGGGTATAACTAACATCTTCAGTTACGGTTTAGCACTAGTCAGTAAAAGGTTTAGGTCCCTTCCATGAAAGCTGCACCAGAGCCAGGGTTTTTCTAGTGGACTAAAACACAGACCACAAGAGGGGTGCAAGCATTCTGGCAGTATGGTCACTACAGGAAACAAAAACCCCACTCTTGGAGGAAACCTGCAGTTGTAATTTTCCTTTTTTTCCTTTATCCTTACGTCTGCCAGCTACAATGCTAACATTTGAATTGCATTAAGAAAGCATTATTTAATCTTAACTCTTACACTAGTGTTCAGAGTGACTTCAGTGCAGCTCAAAAAAATAAAACCGAACCTGGACTTTCTGCTCTTTCAGTTATCTGGCAACTCTATGACAGATCTGAGGAGTGACCCTGGCAAGGCAGTAGGACCACGGAGCCTCAGTGCGGCCCTGGCCTGTTGGGAAGCTAGAGCCACAGAGCGAGCAGAGGAAAAGTGAGCAGGGCTAAGTCACAGGCTCCTTGCTTCAAACAGCAGACCGTAGGAAACACACTAGCACACAGGTCCAGTTCTGCAGAGGTTAAGGAAGCTCTGCGCGAATAATGAAGAAACAATTTTCCAAAGCCTCCATCTTATAAAAATATAAACATTGTGAGGCCAAGTTGAAATGCTCTAAACACCCAAAATAATCGATCAGATATCCGTGTTCCTGTAAATTTACAGGAGATTTAAAATCACACAAAATTACTGTTTGTTAGCTGTTAATCACTGCTATGCATAGAAATGGTTTTCTCGACCATTCAATCCTTGGCAGAGGTCTCTACATCAATAAATCTGAGAAGTAATTTTTAAGTCTGAGGAAAGTTATTTCTAAGGCTGAGAAAACCATTTGATGAACCTTAGCTTTCCACTCATTATCGTATGTTCAGTTATACTGTTGTCACCTCATAATTAGTTTAAAACTCATTACCTTGTTTGTGTTATTCCATTCCCCAGTGCTGGGTTTGCAGCAGGAACTGGCTGAGTAAACAACTGTGCTGCTTTGTGCAATGGGACTGACAACATATCAAATTTTTATGTTGTTTAACAACAATTGGGCATCGTTTGATCATAATTCACAGAGGTGTGAAACCAGAATTGTTAATATACTCATTTAAAGCTTCTCAGTTCAAGGAAATTAATCTGCAAGGCATTTTTCATGACACATATCAGCAGACTTGTATTGATTCTTTTTTTTTTATTAAACTTTTTCAGTGATGCTTAATGCCTGTTTCTTCCTTAGCCTCATTTCTCTACAGCTTCTGTTTCAAAGGTTTATGTGATAACATATATTGCTGTGCTTGTTCACAGGAAAGACAAATGAAAGCTGTGTATTCAAATACACTGAATATCATCTCTTTCTTTTACCAGTTTAGGAGAGATGGCTTTTCCCCCCACACACTCTCATTTACAATCCTTGTTTAAAACAAAGAATTTGGAGGTTACAGAGCAAACACAAGGCTTGTCCCATATGAGTAGGACAGATGGGTAACTTTCTGAAATATTTATTGGTAGTCTCTAAGCAAGAGGTAATAAGGCAGTAACAGAACCTCCCCGGAAAAAGGGGAATCTCCAAACAAATCAGATGTGGAAAGCTAAAAGCACAGAATAGTGATATCTGCTGTGAAGACGCTTAGTCCAGCCAGAAGCACTCTCAGTACATGAGAGCTATGTAATATGAAAGGTGTTGATGCTAACATTACAACACTTGCCACTACAGAAGTACACAACTGCGTCTACTTTCAGTGTTTAATTAAAAGACCTAAATCAGCTGTTAAAGGCAAGGCTCACACATTCTCTTCACACAGAACACTATTGTTATTGGCATCTTCCAGGAACACATATTAGAGCCAACTCTCATCAATGAATAGTTTTATTAAAACCTAGCCCCATGAAACCACTCTGGTGTCTGTGGAAGCATAATTAACCCATACTTGGAGGAAGATTTTCAGTAACAGGTCCCTCCTAGTAACACAGATGGAGATTTAATGGAAACCTGACAGATGTCATCCCAAAGAGGAATGGGGTGAAGCATTGTGAAATGCTACAACCAGAAACCTGATGTCCACTCAGATGTTCTAAATCACAACAACTATAAATAGACATATTAGGCAGGTACCCTACCTAAATTCCAACACCAGTAATTTTCCCAATCTCAGTTTTCCCTAGTATTTTCATCACCAAAATTAATAGTTCACCGTCCTTAGAGATGATGTTTCTGATGAGATGGAATAATACAGACTAAACACCTTTCTCAAAACACACAATTTGCAGCTCTCTCTGCAAATAATGGAAAATTGCCATGACCTGGTCAAGATCTTTTAATAAACTGTGAAATTAAAAAAGAAAAAGGAGGGGGTTGGGAGGGGGGAGAGAGAGGAAATGAGATGCAGGCTCTTTCAGGATGCAATCTGTGCATAACCTGAAAGTAAGCTGAGGTGAAACTCAGGCTTCTCGGCACTGTCCTAACACTAGGACAGTAGACCAGGTCACTCAAATAAAAGGAATATGGTATTCAGAAGTAGTCATAGTATGCTTCAGACTTAAAACTGGAAAAGAGACAAGTAAATCTGCTATCATAACATTCTAAGATTTCCTTCTCCCCAGTCTACACAGAGGTTTTTCATGACTAGCCCAGTTATTTTGGTAGAGGCTATGAAGTCTCTGTGGTTATGCCTCATTCAAAGATTCATCAGACCAAGGAGATTTGCTTTACCTGATACGGCACTTTTAGTCAAAC